CTGTTGTTTTAGGGTTGCAGAGTATTGATGATGTGTTGGAAATTTTATGCATTTCACAAATTTCACTTCTCTTCCCCATAATGGCCCAAGAGGACTTTTTTTTTCCCCCAAAAAGAGGACGGTTGTTTTAGGGTTGCAGAGTATTGACAATGTGTTGGAAATTTTATGCATTTTCACAAATTTCACTTCTCTTCCATGTACCAACCAAGGAACTGGGAAACCAAACAGAGCCCAGATTCGGGCTGATCACAGAGGCGTGCAGAAATGCTCCACTGGGATCCAAAACAGAAAAAAAAAAAGACAAGAAAAAATCAAGTCTTTTTAGCTTCCCAGATGCCCGGCTGGGCGTCCCAGATAACATAGCCCTTCATGCCATTTGTGGTAAATTTTATGAATAGTGAAGTGCAGAAAGCAGCACATCAATGTCAAGTAGCACATCAATATCTTGACAATCCAGATCACTCAAGCACGAAGACAGCGCATTAAATGCCATTAATGTTTGTGCAATCCAAACACTGGCCAGCTGCATTCTGTCTGACATTTTATTTATTTTTCTTCAGTCTGACATTTCTGGGATTTTCCCTTCACATTAATTCAACTTTTGGAATGTCCATTTCTGGACTTCTCCCTTCACAAAGAGAGAGAGAAAGTCAGAAATCGGTGGGCCATTTCTGGGCTTCTCTCTCTCTCTCTCTCTCTCTCTCTCTCTCTCTCTCTCTCTCTCTCTCTCTCTCTCTCTCCCCCAAATGGCTTGGCACTGCTTGAAGTACCTGAATGTGTGTGGTCCCCAAATGGCTTGGCAGTGCTTGAAGTACCTAGATGAATAATGGGAGTCTTGAATTGATTGAGGGGTTACTAGGACTATGTTCTAAGCTCTGGTCTCCTTGTGTTTCCCTGCTTGCTAATAACTGCAGCACGATCAGATTGAAGGAGCTTATTGTCTTTCCTTTATGGCACATAGTGATCGGGGAATGCTGATCGGTGGTAAGTCCCCTCAAAACCCAAAGGGAAAAGAAAAGAAAAACAGAAAAGGAAAGAAGAGAAGGAAAACAGAAAAGCAAAAGAGAGAATAAAAACACGAAAGAAAACGAATGGGAAAAGAAACAAAAAACGAAAAAGAAAACAATATAGACATGGACTGAATGTGACAGGGGTCAAACTTAGCTGTGCGGTCTCCTTTTTTTTTTTTTTTTTTCCCAATCCATCTCCAGTTGATTTGTGGGGAGCCGCACGTGTGCTGGGAAACGGGCCCAGCATCCCTTATGAAAGTTAAGAATTGGCCAAATGTCAAATAATAGAAGCAACGGCGTACCAGGATTAATTCCTTCTGCGATGTTCTGGGGATTAACTGAGACCCTTGTCATCTGGAGCATGGTCCCATTAGCAGTTGGATAGGAGTGTGGCTGATCCGGTGTGACACTGCGCGGCAGCGGCTTGACAGGCTCATTACGAATTTCTGGGCTGAGAAAACAGGAGAAAGGCACGAAAAAAAGAAAAGAAACAGAGACCTCCCACCGGAAATCACGGCAGAGTGCTTCCCAGCCATCAGATCACAAATGATCTGAAGGTGGTGGTTGCAACAACAATGAACAAAGTAACTGCCACATTTTTTTCTGGAATAAACTCGACTTCTGTCAGCAGTGATCATGACGCCCTCCATTTACTCCGTGATTGAAGGAGGGCTCCACCCAATGAGATAATTGCACAACGGCAAGCAAATACTGAAAATCTTCTATCCAGTGGACCTATGGCCGATCCCACCCTCTTTTGGGGTTGGCCATACCCCCCAATGGATTGAGCAGATTTTGGCGGGAAGCTTCCTTTGCACAGGCATGCCCAGTGTTAAGGAGAGGAGGAGGGGAACAAAGATCTCCTTACTTTTTCGGGTAATACATGTAAAATACTGACCGTGGGATCACGAGCACTGCACGGCAGGATTTGGGTCACTCAACTGCCACACAAACTCGTTTGAATCTTTTCTATCCTATCCCGTTGCTAGTGGGACCATGCTTCTGGACCAGGAGGTGGCGCTCTTACTGCACCTCCTAGCAGGCCGAGGCTGGTTAATAAATAAAAAAGAAAAAAAAAAGAGAGCCTCTTCATCTGAAACGAAAGAAAAAGGTTGAACCGTGGACTATGCGGCCTCCCGGGAACATAGCGGCACGCGGAATATGACTGTACACAAGCTACCTTTCTGGTCCAATACAGTCATAATGAGGGTGTGGTGTGCTCGGGGGAAGACCATAGATCTCTGTCTTCAGCTTGCCATTCGTCATGCCATCAGATTCCCCTCCTTTTTCTTTTTTTCTTTTTTTCTTGCCATCTAGGTTGCCGGCTAATCAGTCTGGCCGAACAGTGATGTCTGTACGTGGATTGCCCTCCAATTATTATCTAGGGGTAAGTACAGCGCAGTCACGTTTTCAGTTAGAATTCCACTTTAGGCATACCTCGAATACAACACATCCCCACCCAACCCTAAAGCCGGGTTGGATACATTCACGATTTTCGTGGCTTTTTTGGAGCAAAATTCGCGAAACCGTGACTGAAACGCATTTAAAACTGAAAACCTTGACTGCACCCTAGTTTTCCCTACTATCTGCCATGATTGTTAACCGGACGTCCGGATCGGGATGTCCGGATCCGGTGTCCGGTTTGGGGGGTCCGGTTGGGCCCCATTTCTAGAAAATTCGGACTTTTTTTTGGGGTCCCCAGGCGATTTTCCACTGCCTGGTGGACCCCCGGAAATTGTTGGCGCAGTTTTTGGTGGACCGTTGGGCCAACCAGACTGGCCGTTTGTTTTGAAAAACAAGTGGGGAATAGCACGTGCTGGGAACCGGGCCCAGCGTCCTATATCGAATTGTACAGTTTATTTGAGATCCTTTGAGATACCGGGGCAATTACCCGGCTTCGGCTGAGAACAGTCTGAGAACACGATGTGATTCAGAAGTCCTGGGGAGAATCATGAATATTTGTTGACCTATTAAGGAACTACTCATGCACTAAGCTGCCCTTCGAATGCTCACAACCCTCAGAATCCGTAACAATCCCTTCTGAAACATTCCAACACTGCCGTACTCCCTGCCGAGCTTTTCCAGGCCTCACGCTCCCACCCTGCTGGGTTACAGTGCAACACGACTCGCCCCAGCTCCGACCAGCGTCGTCCCAGCAGCACCTTGGTTGCCCCTTGGAATGCCCACCCCCAAAGCATCCCCAGATCTCTTTACCAGGCCTCACGCTCCTGAACGGCCTGTACTTGCAGCATCAGCGGGCCAAGGAGAACTGGGTGTGTGTGTGTGTGTGTGTGTGTTTGTGTGCGTGTGTGTGCGTGTGTGTGTGCACGTGCATGTGTGTGTGTGTGCACGTGCATGTGTGTGTGTGTGTGTGTATGTGAGTGTGTTCAAGATAAGTAGGATACTACAACTACAGCAGCGCGTGTGTGTGTTTCTTTTTTTTTTTTAATTAATTAATATCCGGACATCCGGACCTGTTCATTCATAACCAGACCGTCCGGGTCCGTATGTCCTGTTGTCCGGATCGATGGCTGGATTACTGGACATCCGGATTAGGTCCGGGCCCGGTGTCTGGATGTCCGGGTCCGGGGCAACCATGCTATCTACCTAACTTTTTCCTTTTTTTTTTAATACCGTTCCATTTTTGCCGGAAACTGGGTCCGGCGTCCCTTACATTTATGTCGTGGCCATTCAGGCTGGGCGAGGCACTCCCGGCCAAGCCCATCCCGACCACAGCCAAAAAGGCCCATCTTGAATGGTTCAACAAGCAAAAAGCAACAATCAAAGTAAACCAAATCTAACAACAAAGAAACATTTAATCTAACAACAAAACCAACACAATCAAGCAAATGCGATCTTGCTTCCCACTTTCACTCGGTGCTCCTTTGTATATAGTCCCAATATCCCTAGTGTCCTGAGTGCATTCCTAACTCTGCCTAAGCCTACCGGAAAACAAGGTCAGTATTGTCTGACTGTCTATCTCCCAAAAGCAGCAAAACACTATACAAAAAAGGCAGAAAACCGCAATGTTGGTGGAAGGTCGTGCGATATGTTCATCGTAACCAGGCCCGAGAAGCCACCTCATCTGCTTCCAAACCACTTGATGGCCTTAGCCGAAAAGCCCTTTTTTTGGACACGATATTCCCAATCGGCCGAAATGGCCTGTTGAGTAGCGTATTTGATCTCGGCTCTAACCATCGGAGGTGTAAGATACTCACCCTTCCTCACCATCGCATTTCTGAGATTCCAAAGGGTCCATAAATGGCCCCTTAAATAGTCTCCTCATCGTGAGCAGATTGCAGCAGGAGCGTCGTTCTCCTGGAGGCTGTCCCCATGAGAATAAAATTGTCTCCCCAAAGGGTATCCACCCCCAGATGAGAATAAAATTGTCTCCCCAAAGGGTATCCACCCCCGAAATCGGGACATCCAATTGTCTCCACCATTCCCAAAATGGCCTAGAAAGGTCACACTGCAACACAGTGTTGGATATCTTCCATCCGGGTCCCTGGGCATAACCGACATTCCGGTGCAGCCTTCGTCGTTCTTTTCGCACACCAAGTGTTAACTGGCAATGGCAGTTGCATCAGCAACCAAAGCAAGCTTGCATGCTTGCTTACCACAAGATTCATCAACTGCTTCCAAAAGGCTGGGAGGGCGGCGGACAATCTTGTCAACGTGTCTGCAACCCATCCCGTTGCCATCCATCTCTTGGCCACTGTCCAGTTGACATCTGTTGGCGGTGTCATTAAAAGGTAGCCCAGTTTTGTGGTTTATTCTTATAACCCGACCAATTCAGTGTTGTGCAATGGATGTTCCCACGCCCAATCTCTGGGGGCAGTTGGCAGATTATAAGTATGGGTGTCGCTAGACCCTCCTCGGGGACATGAAATCCACAAGGACGTGCTCGTTCCATCTGTCCTTGGGGACGACATTGGAAAAGAAATGTGAAAACACCACAAGGAAACTTCCTTGTGGCGTCCTTGTGGCCCCAACCAAAATTTCCTTATCCCCAAGGCACCTCGTGAGGTCCCTTGTCGCTCGAGGAACCGTGATTCACGGAGTGCGAAGACATGCGTCGACGGCGAGCTTCGGTTCTTGGGTGGTCCAGATGTTGTCCAACGGCGTTAGCACAGACATCCTCTCCCTCCGATGTCTGCGTAGCCCCCCAACGACCCCCAAAGGCTACTGTTGGCGGTGGGCCTCCATCAGGTGGCGTGGTCGTTTTTGGCCATCATGCGGTCTCCCGCACTCGAGGAACGTGCGCTCGAGGAACGTCCGCAAACGTCGGGAAAATATATTTTTCCCGGTGGCGCCCCTTCAGTCCGCCCAGGGAAAAGGTTTCTGCACGAGCGTCGTATTCCCACGCATGTCGTCACGTGCTGCACGTCCGACAAGACTCTTGCCTTCTCCGCCGTCGTGTGCTAGACGTCCGACAACAGACGTGACATTGCTGCCCTCTCCACCGTGTTGTCCATGGACGATCTGTACCGCAGGCTCCCTCGCTGCTCCTCGTCCTTGTGCTGCTTCTGGTGGTCCCTCTGCTGCTCCTCGGCACTGTGTTGCTTCTCGTTGAAGTAGTCATCTGTGGCGTCATTGCATTGTCGAAGGTCATCCCACATCCCCCCCGTCCTACGTTTGATCCACCACTTCGGTGTCGCCCGTGGAATGACGCCGCAACCCAACGTGTAGCACAACTCAATGACAGCCTTCGAAGTTGCCATGTAGTCCGGGCCGTCATCCGCAACTTGCATTAGCGCCCTTCTTCTACGCCTGTGCAACTGCTCCTTCATTCGTTCCAGTGCCCTCTCCTGCTGACAACGAAGAACAACGGTTGACACGGCCGCTGCCACGACTGCCCGCTCAAGCGATGTCAATAGCGCACGTCTGTGATGCTCAACCTCACGCCCTGCGCTGCTTCCCGGTCGGAGCGTTTTGGTTCGTGGAAGGGCCCCGGGAGGACAGCGAAGATGGGGT